CTACAGAAATTATATAATGTTGCATAGAAAAGAATCTAACCTAACACTATATATATTAAAAGAAGTGAAAAAGAAAAAAAAAAATGTCTAACTATAAGAAATTTCTATATGTAATCCCTCCGATCTCCTATACTGTAAACAGTACCACCGTCATTGTTTATTTGGTAAAGCAAAATCCAAATAAGCTCGTGGGAGGTTCATTTTATTATTATATTAATTCTGGCCTAAATTCTAAAGTTAGTAAAGATTATACTTACTATAATATGTATATACGTGCATTACATATCGTAAAAATAGGTTGATATCAAATAAATACTACAATATCAATTTAAAAAGACTTTAGCAGTTTTACAACATCTATTGCACTAACCAATTCTAATACCAATGCTAATATAACTAAACTAATGCTATAAAATACAAAAATGCTTCTATATAACCACATCATATTTATAACTATTTTAATCAAATTCAAGTACAATGTATGTCTTATATTCGCTATATATCACAATTAATTTTTTTGAGAATTTGGATATCTTTTCTGATAGTGGCCAGGTGTTCCATATAACAAGCACTTGCATTGTGGTTTTAAGCTTGCTTTACCAGCACAACTTTGTGTATTATTGATTTGGCTTGTGATTTCTTGCCTTACATTTTTCTTTTTTATAATTCTATAGCACTTTTTAATTTTTTTTTTACTTGGTATACCTCGAATTTTTGTGATATTTGGGTCATTTGTTTGATTAATCAAATGCTATTGTAAAAAAGTAATATCATCTTTATCCTGAGTTTTGTTATTAATGATTTTTTCTAAATTAATATTATCTATATTTCGCTTAGTTGAAATAAAGTTTTTTAATAGTTGAACCAATTCATCATCGCTTTTAGTTTTTAAAGCAATGTTAATTGTAGTTTTAGCTGTTGAAAATGCAACTCCAAATCTATTTTTTTAGAAATAACTTGCTGAATACTCATATGATTACTAGAACCTTGAAATTTCTTTAGGCTTTAAAGATTTAATTGCATTATCTGTAGAGGACTCTATTGCCATAAGAGATAGCGAGTTTTTAAGTACTTGATCCAATGTTATAAAAATATCATCTTTATACCATCTAATTGGTATAATACTAATATAAAATCTTGCTATACTAGAGTAAAGCATAACTCGCCAAAAATAACAACAAATAATTCTTTTTGTTATTATTTCCATGCATGTGTATATATGGGATCTGTCATTAAAAAGAACTACTAAATTTTCTTTACACAAAATTTCTCCTATTCTATGAATTCTTTACATTTCATTAATACTTGCATCAGCAAATTTAATAGGGCGTAATATTGCGCAATAATTTACGAAGCGTAAAAAAACCGTAATATTATGTAATAACTTTTGCAATATTGCGAAATATATAATTACGAAATATTACATAAGATAATTACGCAATATTACACAAGAAATAACGCAATTTTACGCAAAATAATTCGAAATAATTCGAAGCAGATTA